TTCCTTGCTTTAGGCTTCAGCTTGGCTTAGATGTGGCCTCTGCAGGCATTTGGGAAGTGAACTGTTGTATGGAAGATTTCTCTCTCATGAATAAATAAATGCAAATGTTTAGCTCAGATGTAAAAAAATGTGCAAATAAACAAAAGATTTGATTAGGCCTTTCTCCAGCCTTGGGACCCATGTCATGTTGTTGAGTGTGTTACTGGAATTTATTTTTCCACGTTCCTTTGTCTTTCTGTAAGTCATGAGAAATAATCCCTATGTGTTTTCTACTTAAACTACATGGTAAAGCTGGTACCTGTGACTCTGGCAGTCATTCTGTATGGGCTCCTGTTCATTTTTCAGCTGCTCCATTTCTGATCCATTTCGCTGCTGATGGCCTGAGAAAAGCAGCAGAGAATGGCCAAGGTGTTTGGGGCTCCTGCTGCTCATGTGATAGGACTAGATGAAGCTCCAGGCTCCTGTTTTAGCCTGGCGTAGCCTTGGCTGTTGTGGCCTTCTGGGGAGTGAACCAGCAGATGACAGATCTGTTTCGGTCTCTTTTTGTCTCTGTAACCCTGTCTTTAAAATAGATAAATCTTTAAAAACAAAAAATATGTTGAGTTTCTAGAAAGTTAGGATGCCCAGGGTACTGAGGCAGTTGGGAGGCTGGACGTGTTTTTTTCCTTTGTATCCTCTTCATCCGCACTCACCCCCTGCCTCAGATACAGGAAGAGGGAAAAGAAAATGTGTAAACAGTGGTCTGGGCCATTGACCCTTTCCACCCGGATCCACTATGAAACATCATCAAAAAGAAAAGAAAGAAAAAAAAAAAAACTTAGGATGGGCTGTATGTGTGAAGAAATGGATCAGAAAACAGGTTACAACTAGAGAAAACGGGCTTGCTACACTGATCTGAAGCCAGGAGCCAGGAACTTCTTCCAGATCTTCCACGCAGGTGCAGGGTCTCAGGCCTTGGGCCATCCTCAGCTGCTTTCCCAGGCCACAAGCAGGGAGCTGGATGGGAAGTTGAGCTGCTGGGATTAGAACTGGTGCCCATATGTTATCCCTGTGAGTTCAAGGTGAGGATTTTAGCTGTTAGGCCACACCGCCGGGCCCAGAAGAGAGATTTTCATTACCATTTATTCTTTTATTCCTCTAATGTAGTCCTGTTAAAACTGCACTTAGAGGGTGGGTGGAAGGGTCCAAGTATTTGGGTCATCTGCTGCTTTTCCAGGTGCATTAACATAGAGCTGGACTAGAAGTGCAGCAGCCAGGGTTTGAACTGGCAGCCACATACAATACTGATGCCCATGTGGTTGTTTTACCTGTTAGGTCATGGCGCTGGACCCAGGGCTGCTGCTCTTGATTTCTGTTTGCCCACTTGGATACCAGTGCTGATTTTGTTGAGGTTCATAGGCTGTTATGGTTTCCAAATTCCTCAGGTTTGTAAGAGCCAGACTGTCAGGGTTAATTCAACCTGGCTTCCCTCCCTTCTCCTCTGCCTTGTGCCCATGTTGCAGGGTGCAAGCAAGATCACACCAGACATGTCTAAGGTTTATTAAGGAGTCTTTATTAACCAAGCTTGGTGATACAGGGCTTACTAGAAATAGCAAATCACAATCCCGTATGGCAATCTAGTCAGTTGAAACCCCAAGAGGAACAAATAGTCATCACCCTTAAGTCCATACATTAAGCCAAAGGCCTATGTTCCAGATTCCCTAACAATATAAGCTATCCTAAGAGACATGCAACGAATAACCTGGACACATTTACAAATCCGCAGACATTCACCTTTCGCTGGCTTCTCTGCCCGCATTCCATTTCTGCTAGGCCTCACCTCTCCTGGAACTGCTGATAGTACACACAAATTAGAAATACAAAGCAACTTAGCATTGCTGTCTTCATTGTCCCACCCAAGCAGTGAACAGAGGGTGAGGAATACAGACACCCAGGCGCCATGCTCAGGGGATACCTGTCCTCCAAGTCTGTCCATGGGAAGCCAGAAAGTAAGCAGGTTCTGGGGAGGCAAAGAGTCGGAGTGCCAGAGCAAGGGAAGCACGGGATCAAGAGACGGAGCACCTCCCAATCAGGAGTCTTTATAAGGGCTTTGAGGGGAATGGTTACACAACAGTGCAGTACCACCCTCTGTCAGGTAGGTGAGAGTCCCAGGTGAGGGAACACTTAGGTGGTGGAGGAGTGACTTCCAAGCTCGTGACCCTGAACTAGCCAGCTGCCTCACCCAGGCCCATAGTCAGACCATACTCTTCCCAGATCAAAGTGTGGGCACAAAGACTCTGCAGAGATCATATAGCAAGATCTCATTTCTAGGACCAGCGTGTGTCTACTTCCTGTCAGTCTGTGGATTCTGGGAGACAACAGTGATGGCTCAAGTACTTGGATTCCTCCTATTCCTGTGAGAGACATTGATTGCACTGGCTTGGTCTGAGCACATTCCCAGCAATTGTGGGAATTCTCCCAGCAGATGGAAAATTATGTTTTCAAAAGCTGATAGTGAGGGGCTCTCTCGCACCACTCCTTGTGTTGCTAATATCCTATATTAGGGTGCTGATCTGAGTCCTGGACCTTCTGCTTCTGAATCAGTTTTCTGCTAACGACTCTTGGGAAAAGAGGCAGAAGATAGCCCAAGGACTTGGGTCCCTGCTAACCTTATAAGGCTGGGAAGGAGTTCTTGTCTCCTGGTGCACCTGACCCAGACCTGGCTGTTAACAGCCATTTCGGGAATAAACCAGTAGATAGAAGATCTCTTTCTCCCTTTCAATCTGTTGCTCTGCCTTTAAAATAAATACAACTTTATAAAATATGATAATTGGGGCCATTGTAGTATAATGGATTAAGTCACAACCTGTGATGCCAGAATCCCATAAGGGTGCCAGTTCTAGTCCTGGCTGTTCAACTTTGTTTAGTTCCCTGTTAATGTACCTGGAAAAGCAGAAGATGGCCTAAGTACTTGGAGCCCTGCACCCACGTGAGAAACCTGAAAGAGCCCCTAGAAAGACGCGTTAGGCCTGGCTGAGCCCTGGCTGTGAGAACCATTTGGGATGTGAAACAAGGGATTTCGTTCTATCTCCCTCATTCTCTGTAGCTCTGCCTTTCAAGTAAATAAAAGTAAAAATTTTAATAGAGACTTAATTATTTGAAGACAGAGTTACAGGGAGAAAAAGAGAGATCTTGCGTCTGTTGGTTCACTCCCTGGTTTAGCTCCTGCAAAGGCTATGCCACCATGCTGGCCCCTAGCACTTGCTTCCTCTTCTTTTTTTTTTTTTTTTAAGATTATGTCAGCCAGTGGATTCTGGAGCCAGTGCTTGGAATGGCAAGATTCGCAGCAATTCATAACTGATGAACTATCAAAACCACTTGAGCAGGACCAACTCTTGGAGCCTGCCCTACATTGGGGACCTGGGATGGTTGGGAGACTGGATGTGGCTTCTCCTTCTCCCAGATACAGAAAGGAAAAAAGGAGAATGTGGAAACAGTGATCTTAGCCATTTTCCTGCAGTCCTTGGCCCTTTGTGCCCTAATCAACTATGTAGAGATCATCAAAAATAAAATACTAATTTTAAAAACAGATTTATATTTTTGGACCCAGCATGGTAACCTGGTGGCTAAAGTCCTCACCTTGCATGTGCTGGGATCCCATGTGGGTGCCAGTTCGTGTTCCAGTGGCCCTGCTTCCCATCCAGCTCCCTGTTTGTGGCCTGGGAAAGCAGTCAAGAACAGCCCAAAGCCTTTGGACCCTGCACCTGTGTGGGAGTCGCAGAAGAGGCTCCTGGCTCCTGACTTAGGATTGGATCAGTTCCAGCCATTGCAGCCACTTGGGGAGTAAATCAACAGATGGAAGATCTTCCTCTCTGTCTTTCCTCTTCTCTGTGTATCTCATTTCCAATAAAAATAAATAAATAGTAAAAGGATGAATAAATAAAGATTTATAGTTTTATTTGGAAAGGCAGATTTACAGAAAGAAGGAGAGACAGGAAAGATCTATCAGCTTGTTTACTTTCCAAATGACAGCAACGGCCGGAGCTGAACCAGTCAGGAGCCAGGAGTACCTTCTGGGTCTCCCACGGAGGTCCAGGGTCCCAAGGCTATGGGCCATACTCAACTGCCTTCCCAGGCCACTAGCAGGGAGCTGGACAGGAAATGGAGCTGCTGGGACATGAACTGGCATCCGTATGGGATCCCGGCGGATGCAAGGTGAGGACTTTAGTCACTAGGCTATGGCACCAAGAGTCTGGCCCTGGTATTAGCTTCTTTAGTTGCTGTGCCTTAGGGAAGTCAGGTTACCTCACTGGCATGAACTTTCATGAGCATATGGGTTTGGACCTCATGGTGGAGGCTGGGTAATTTGAAATCTTACTTAAATGCCTCAAAGATGAAAACCATCAGACAAAATTTAATGTGGACCACTTTATAACACTTTATACCTGTTAACATCTCCAGTCAGCCCTGAATCTCTAATTCTCCTTTCTTTTTAGGAAGCATTTATTCGAAGCATTTTGTCAAAACCTTTCAAAGTCCCCATTCCAAATTATCAAGGTAAGATGAGTTTCTTTTTAATGCCATGTTAATGTGCCAGGGTAAAGTAAAACCTTCTGCTATTACACAAGCTTAGCTGGGAATTAAAGGTGCAGTGTGGCAGTGGCTGTCTGTAATGACTATCTTGAGGTCTGTGTGAAATCTATGTTAACATCGGCAAGAATTGCCAAGGCTCACTGCTCCTCACTTGGTGAGGATGTGTCACTGCCCAGAAGGCTCCTGCTGGCCCAACATGGTCGATGGCCCTGGGCTTCATTTAGGCCAGTTGTGTTCGGAAGCTTGTGTTGTGTTCTGCTTGATGAGGTTGACTTTGTGGGAAGTCTAGATTGTGTGTAGGGTGCAACCTTGTGCTAAAGCTAGGGCTGGAGGAAGGAGGCCAGCTCTCGAGAGCTCTCAAACCAGACTGGACTTTCCCCTTTGGCGTTTCAGACTTTCCCAGAGTGGGTTTAAAGAAGAACCAGACCTTGCCCCATGATTATAAAAAGACGCATTAAGAGAACTTATGCTGGGATTCTTTTTCTTTTTTCCTCTTTTGTTTTTACTCTTTCTCTTCCTTTTCTATACTTCTTTTCCTCTCTTTGAAAAAATAATTAAAAAAAAAAAAAAGAACCAGACCTGGCTCTCCAGGGGTTTATTGTTGAATGGGAGAAATAAGATAGGAAAAGTGCCAATCTGAGGCTGAATGGAATAATGGTAGGGTGGAGGTGGCCTAAGCTGGGGTTGGAGGAGTTCTGGCAGAGACAGGGTCATGTGGGAGTTCAGGAAGGGTTTCTGAGGAACAGGCCATCAGGTGGGCCTGCTAGAACACCAGAACACACCAAGGTCCGGTTGATGATGAATGGTTTTTAGGTCCTCTAGGTTCTCGGGCTTTGGGCCTGAAAAGGGCTGGAATCCGCCGGGCCCTCCATGACCCACTGGAAGAAGGCGCCTTGGTCCTGTATGAACCACCCGTGCTGAGTGCCCATGACCAGCTGAAGCTGGACAAGTATGTGCATGTGTATTTCTTGAATGGTCTGGTCTTCTGTAAATACAAACATTTGGGAGGTAGAGGGTAACTTGCTGTGATTTATCTGTGTGTTTTCAGGGAGCTGTTATGACCCCTTCACCCTCTAGAGAATTGGTGTTTGGGGAGCAGGAGTATCCAAGAAAGAGCCTCTGTTGATGCCTGTTTAATGGGGGTTCCTCAACTCCTGCGTGCTCACTCAGGGAGAGGTGATTAGTGACTGTGGTCATGACATAGGCAGCCCATCCCCTCTCCTTACCTTAGCTGCTAGGGCAGACACGTGCTCTGGTTTGCTTATCAGGCTGAGAATAGGTCCTCCCTTATGTAGCCGCTTCTGTTGTGTCAGGATTGGCAAGACACAGCCTGCATCTGAAACGTTTTCATTGTCATCTTTTCTCAGGGAAAAACTCCCCGTCCATGTGGTTGTCGACCCTATTCTCAGTAAGGTCTTGCGGCCTCATCAGAGAGAGGTAAAGAGGGTAAGGGGAATGAGATGATGGATAAGGGACTAGGGCTGGAGACTGCCATTCCTGGGCAGTGGCAGTCTAAGTGCCCAAGTGGATTGATTTCTGTTATTCCCCAGGGAGTGAAGTTCCTGTGGGAATGTGTCACCAGCCGGCGCATCCCTGGCAGCCATGGCTGCATCATGGCTGATGAGATGGGCCTAGGAAAGACGCTACAGTGCATCACATTGATGTGGACACTTCTGCGCCAGAGTCCAGAGTGCAAACCAGAAATTGATAAAGCAGTTGTAGTGTCACCCTCTAGCCTGGTGAAGAATTGGTACAACGAAGTTGGGAAATGGCTTGGAGGGAGGATCCAGCCTCTGGCCATCGACGGAGGATCTAAGGAAGAGATAGACAAAAAGCTGGGTACGGAGCCTTAGCAGACGTGGCCACACTTCTCTACCCAAGCTGCTGCTTGCTTGCTTGTGTGGATGCTCACACATGAGAAAATTCCGCACTGACAAGAATTGGTTGCTAGTTTATAGGCCAGGTTAAGGAACTGTGATACTGTGTTCTTTAAGACGTTTTGATTTGTTTCCTTTGACAACTTTGCTGTTGCAGAGGGATTCATGAGCCAGCATGGAGCCAGAGTGCCTTCTCCCATTCTCATCATTTCCTATGAAACATTCCGCCTTCATGTTGGAGTCCTGCAGAAGGGAAGTGTTGGACTAGTCATCTGTGACGAGGTACTTGACTGCGGCAGGAGAGGGTGTGTCAGTGTCTTCACTGAGTGCTGTCACCTGAGTGCCGCCTCGGAGGGGACCGGAGACAGGCAGAGCTGGTGAAACAGGTCCTGAAAGGACTCTTGAGGACAGTGAGGTCCTGTGGCTGATTGTTGTTGTTGTCTGCAGACAGTATTCCTGGACCAGGAAGGACTCTGAAGGATAGGCAGGATTCAGATGGGTGGAGTGACATGGCACAGTTTGTGGGTGAAAGGTCCAATTTTTTTTAAAGTTTTTGTTAAATTATTATTATTTTCCATGCTGTAGGTTTTTTCCTAACAATTTTTTAAAGATTTATTTATTTTTATTGCAAAGTCAGATATACAGAGAGAAGGAGAGACAGAGAGGAGGATCTTGCATCCGATGATTTACTCCCTAAGTGACCACAATGGCCGATGCTGTGCTGATCCGAAGCCAGGAGCCAGGTCTCCCACGTGGGTGCAGGGTCCCAAGGCTTGACTGCTTTCCCAGGCCACAAGCAGGGAGCTAGATGGGAAATAGAGCACCTGGGATTAGAACCAGCCCCCATTTGGGAATCCCGGTACAAGGTGAGGACTTAGCACTAGGCTACCACGTCAGACTCAGTGATAAGTTTTTTTGGGTATAGTAGTTTTCCCCTTTTACCTTCTCTTCCTCCCTCACCGTTTTCCCTTCCCTCCCTTTTCCTAACTATTATGGTAGTATAGTCCTTTAATAACACTTAAAATTTAGCTTTCTGCTATTTAAGTGCATCATGGCATTATAGGTATAGACAAAGGAGGAAAATCTAGTATCATATATTGTCAGAGTCCATTGAACTATTTCATTAGGAGTCCTCTTTTTATTCAAGAGATGTTTCTATTTTTTTTAAAGACTATTTTTATTGGAGAGGCAGCTGGGACTTGAACTGGAGCACACATGAGATTCTGACACCTTAGAGACTCAATGTGGGGAAGAATGTTCCGAGGGTGTTACTTGAATGGTTTTGATAGTTCTAAGATGTTGTCAGCTTCATTGCAGCAGGGTTGAGAAAATCCTTCCAAGGTCAGTTGGTTGACAAAAACCACCTTAGTGCATCTACTCATGCAGACACTTGCTGCAAAGCTTGGCAAAGAAAGTTGTCCAACCATTCTGTTTCCATGCTTTGATGAGGCCCTCGATGTTCTCTGCTGGCCTAGATGAGCTGGCTGTCATACCCCATGTGTGCATCTGGGTATGCTGTCCACTGCTCAGGCATCTGAGGAGGCCCAGTCCCATCACATGCACTCTACAAAGTCAGATCACGTATCCTGTGATTTTTGCCTATGGCTGGAGTTTGATTCCTGTGATCTAGTTGGGAAGTCTTCCAAGAAACCTTACATAAGGTGACCCCAGACCTGACTCGTGTGTGCTTGCTAGTGTGAGGTCTGGTTTAGTCCATCACCCGTATTAGTCTACGCATGTACTGGTAGATGCAGCTACCTGGTCAGTTCTGTCCCCAGCCCCATCTCCCACACATACCGACAGGTGCTGTGGCGTATCTCAACCCAGCCTGCCATAAATCCTGCCCTTATGGACACCAGCAGGAACTACAGCCTAGTCAGGGTGACCAGTAGCTTCTTTCAGGTCTCCCATGTTGGTCCAGAGGCCAAGCACCTGGGCCATCTTCTGCTGCTTTTTCAGATGCATTGTCAGGGTGTTGAATTGGAAATGGAGCAGCTGGGACTAGAACTGAGGCCAATATGGCATGTCAGTGCTGTAGGTATTAGCACTGTATTACTACTATGCCACAGCTCCAGCCCCAATAAAATGATTTTTTCCGCCAATAAAAAGATTTTTAAAAAGGATTTGTTTTACTTGAAAATGTTATGGAGGGAAAGGAGAAGCATATAGATGCTCATCTGCTGGATCACTCTCCAGATGGTTGCAATGGCTGAAGCTGGGTTTTGTGTGCCTTGCTTAATTTGGAGCTGAGTGATGGGCTGGATATAGAAAAGGCATAGGCGGACCTGGCGCGATTTGCCTTTCCAATAAAAAATAAACAAGTATTAAATAAATAAATAAATAAATGTAATGAAAACCTCCTTTCTGGACCCGGGGCAGTGGCCTAGCAGCTAAAGTCCTCGCCTTGAACGCACCAGGATCCCATATGGGTGCCAGTTCTAATCCTGGCAGTGCCACTTCCCATTCAGCTCCCTGCTTGTGGCTTGGGAAAGCAGTTGAGGACAGCCCAAAGCCTTGGGACCCTGCATCTGCTTGGGAGACTGGAAGGAAGTTCCTGGCTCCTGGCTCCGGATCGGTGTAGCACTGGCCGTTGTGGTCACTTGGGGAATAAATTATTGGACGGAAAATCTTCCTCTCTGTCCTCCTCTCTGTATGTCTGACTTTGCAATAAAAAATAAATTAAAAAAAAAAGAAAGAAAAGGCATAGGCATGATTTTGCCCTTATGGTTTCCATAGCAGAGGGGAGATCATAGGGTTTTTCATCATTTCCTTGAAGAGAACTTAACAAAAGTTAGGATATGGGAATGTGGGAAATAGGGAGAATCTAGCAGTTTGGGGAGAGGCAGGAGGGAGGCAGAAAGGATGCTGTTTAGATATTTTGACTGGATTCTACTTATCAGTGATAGCCTAGGCAAGGCTGACTGGAGGCATCTGGCTCCCACAGTGGGGCAGGTGAGGAGGGAGGATTTAGATGCTAGGCCATTTTGTTGGGACTGATAATGAAGATATTGCAGCTGCCTGGGGCTGCTGTATCCTGTGATGAATGAGAATCAATTCTGTTGCAGGGACATAGGCTCAAGAATTCTGAGAATCAAACCTATCAGGCCTTGGACAGCTTGAATACCCGGAGGCGGGTGCTCATCTCTGGGACCCCCATCCAGAATGATCTCCTGGAGTACTTCAGCTTGGTACATTTTGTGAACTCAGGCATCCTAGGTAAGAATACAGCCCTGTCTGCAAATTGGAGAGGTGCTTGACCTTGTGATAGAGAGGGGTGTAACTTGAGCCACTCAGTGTTGTTGTAGGAAGACTTTCTTGTGGGGGAGTAGCAGAGCCACTGGAGAGGCTTTCGATTCTGCTCGTTCCCTTCCTAGATGGCTACAACAGCTAGCACTAGGCCAAGCAGAAGGCAGAAGTTGAGAACTTCATCCTGGTGTCCCAAGAGGATGGCAGGGACCGAAACACTTGAACCATCCTCTACCACTTCTCTCAGGCCATTATCAAGGAGCTAGATTGGAAATGGTGCCCATGTGGGATGCTAATACTGCAGGGGTTTAGCCTACTGTGCCACAGTGAGGGCACCTGCATTTCTGTTTAAGTTTTTTTGTCTTAATAGTGAAATCGAAAAGTCTTAGGTTATGTATATGTGCTGCTGAAGTAGGTACTCTTCTGTTTTTGTGTTTTAAGAATTTTTTTTTT